CCCCCCCCCAAACCCTTGGAATTGTTTTAAGCGTTGTAAGTGACAAAGATCTTTGGCTATGTTAATGAGGTGACTTTTGGAAAGTGGCTAAGGATGGAGGTTAAGTTGCAAATGGAGCCAACCATGTGATTAGAGGTTTAGCACTTTCAGTCCCATCCCCTGACCTTCAGGGAAGAGGAGAAGGGCTGGAAGTTGAATCTACAACCAGTGGCCAATGATTCAATCACAATTATGCAATGAAGCCTCTCTTGGATTGCAAGGAGATCAAACCAGTCAATCCTAAAGGAAATCAACCCTGAATATTCATTGGAAGGACTGTTGCTGAAGCTCCAACACTTTGGCCACCTGATGGGAAGAGCTGACTCACTGGAGAAGACCCTGATGACGGGAAACATTTAAGGCAAAAGAAGGGGCAGCAGAGGATGAGATGGTTATATAGCATCACCGATTCAATGGACAGAAATTTGAGCAAACTCCAGGAGACAGTGGAGGACAGAGGAGCCTGGCATAATACAGTCCATGAGGTCAAAGAATTGGACACGGCTTGGTGACTGAACAACAACAATGAAGCCTGCATAAAAACCCAAAAGGATGGTGTTTGGGAAGTTTCCAAGATGATGACCACATGGAGGTGCTGGGAGTGGGGTGCCTGCAGGGCCACGGAAGCACTACAGCCTTTCCCCACACGTTGCTCTGCGCATCTCTTCCCTAAAGCTGTCCCTGAGCTACATTATGTCCATTTACAGTAAACCTGTAATCTAATGACTAAAATGTTTCCACAAGTTCCGTGAGCCACTACGGCACATTAATGAACACAGGACGGCCACAGGAACCTCTGGTTTATAGCCAGTCGGTCAGAAAGAGAGGGAACAACTGGAGTTACCTGAGCGGGCTGCCACTCCCTCCTCGGGAGGGTCTTCTCGACCCCAACAACAATCTGAAGTGGGTACGGGATGGGGGGGAATGGGGAGTGGTCTTGTAAGACTGAACCCTTAACCTGTGGAATCTGACTCTGTCTCCTTGTAGAGTCAGAATCGAGTTGAGCTGTAGGACAATCAGCTAGTGTCCCAAGAATTATATCTTGGTATCAGGATCCCTTCCCCTCCCCTCCATGCAATTTAAGCACCAACTCACATTGCCCAGTATTCTCATTCATGCACTTGTGTCACAGGCAAATTGAATGTGCCTTCAAACATGCTTCAACATTTCTGCTTATTAAACCACATGTTGTTTTCAAGGCCTAGAACAATCATTAATTTTGGAATAATACACCCTCGGATTCAGACGAATTAGGGTTCAAACACCAACTGTGTCTATTGCTTTAAAACGACGAGGTGTTTTACTCTCCAATAAACCTCAGTTTCTTATCTGTCAAAGAGGCATAATAGTACCCATCTCTTAGGACTGTAATGAGGCTGCAAGATAACAGATAAAGATAAAGCATTTAGAAGACTACCTAGCACATGGTAACTGCTCAACCAGTGACTCATCCGTAGCAATTAACATAATAATGCTGGTATACTAGAAAAAAGCATGGTTTTTTTTTCATATCAAAAGATCTATGTTTCCTCTCCAGAGTCACTAGTTATTATACTGTGTGATTAGCTTTCTTTTTCTCTCTTATACAATAGGGATAATAACAGTATCTAACTCATAGAGTTATTGTGAGGAGCCAATGTTTTCCGAAGTACTTGGAAAAGTAAAAGCACTCTACCAATATTAGTTATAATAATAATAATAATAAAACTGCCTACTGGATGAATAAGTGATTATAGTGACAAAATCTCCAAAGCATCTTTACAAAAGTTAATAAGTGTGCTTTCTCATCCAGCACAGAAAATATTTATTAAGCAACTTATAGTCCACAGGTAAATACCACGCTAGGCAAATGAAAGACACTGAGAAGCTGTCCACTAAAGGGCAGACTGCCGCATGGCTAATCATCAATGGTAGCTGTTTCAGCCACCACTCTCATCTTACTGTATGTGCTGCAGTTTTGTCTCCAAAGCCTTTTGGGAAAAAGACAGCTTTGAATTGATCCACGTCTGCTTTAGTCTCATCAAAGTTGATGCTGAACTGCTGAAGATATCTGCCATAGCACTGCAAAAGGGCCAGTTTATATTCCTGAAATAAAAAAAGGACTCGATGAAGGTTTTAAAACACCATTTTTCTTATCATTATTAAAATTAGGTGATATTGGGTTTCCCAGGTGGCACTAGTGCTAAAGAACCCACCTGCCAATGCAGGAAACAGAAGAGACGTGGGTTTGATCCCTGGGGTGGAAAAGATCCTCCAGAGGAGGGAATGGCGACCCACTCAGGTATTTTTGCCTGTAGAATCCCATGGACAGAGGAGCCTGGCAGGGTCACAAACACTCAGACATGACTGAAGCAACTTAGCACACCCAATGTTCGTATTATTCTCAATGATGTCAATGTTGATAATTACCATGACCACCATTACTTCCATCATGACATCATTACTAACATTATCACAACTATTTCCAAACACACACATGACAAACACTGTTCTTGGCAATTCATGTGCATTATTTAATTCTCCTCACAACAAAACAATTGCGAGATGAGACTTCAAAGACGGGGATACTCCCCAGGGTGTTGTGTGTGGTAATACCTGGATGGATATACTCAAAATCCAACAGGTTCAACCTCAACAGAGGATAGTAATCCACCAATTCAATCACAGAAGTGGAGGAACTGTTTAACCAGCCTTGCTTCTCTGATACCTCCTAAGCTCCAAAAAAGAAAGGACAGGTAGGGGAGGGCAGCTAGGTAGAGGAGAAAAAAATGGGGGTGGGTGGAGGAAAGAAGGAAGAGGAAAAAAGAAAGGAATGAAAGAAAGAAGGGAGAAGAGAAGAGAAGATTGCAGGTGATGAGCTGGCTCTTTCATGTCCCATTTCTGCAGTTACATCAGGACCAATCAGTCTGAGCTGTTGTTAGTTAACGATTCTCGTCAGTTCTAATTCATGCTTAGGTTCCCATTACAAAGTCAGATGCCTCATTTCTGAAGCCCACAGGGCACAGCTGACCTGGAAAGTTTCAGGGCGGTGGATGCCAGCAGGGCTCCACAGATGAGTCAGCTCCAGCCTTCCTCTGCTTCTTCCCATGAGACTGTGTTTCCAGGAAGAGCAGCTGCCCTGGGTGTGAACTGCCTCTTGGGTTACCTTGCCCCTCTGCAGATTCAGAGTCAAAACGCTCTTTTGTTCCTATTTCTATTGACTTGTTTGTTACTGGCTCACTAATTAATTCTGAATCTTTTCCATTCTAACTTGATTCACACAATGAATTCAAATCTAGGTTCAAAACAAGAGTAGTCCAACCAGATGAGCTTGACTGTAACTAAAATAAAAATAGATTCTAGAAACCAAAGTAACCACTCAAGTTTGTTTCCAGGGTTATAAATACCTTTCAGGACCACTTTCCCATCAGTGAAAAGTAGTTAAAACATTTTCTTTGTTTTTTTAGTAAATCTTTTAGATATTCTACCTGAAATACTCTGAATGCTTGGCCACTGCCCATTATCAACTTGCTTTATCAACTTCTAACATGCTCCTTCTTCCTCCCTCCACCCACCTGGACACTCCTGAAACAACCTCAGACCATGTTGTATATCACCAGCTCCTTATTATGGAATTCTCCAGGCAAGAATACTGGAGTGGGATGCCATTTCTTTCTTCAGGGGATCTTCCTGACCCAAGTATTAAACCCAGGTCTCCTGCATTGCAGGCAGATTCCTTACCATATGAACCAACAGGGAAGCCTTGTTATATTGAGAAGAAGCATAAAAATAAAGATCGGGGCACTCATCTAATTCTTGTGAAAACTGTTATTCCATTTCACATGAATATAGCTTACAAGTTGGATCGCACTTGGGTTTCTTTTTCTGTAGTTTCCCAAACTCTGCATTTTCAAGTCTCTAAGAACCATGGTCCAATTACATGGAGCTGAGAGGATTCTTTAATTTGGGCAGCTGAAAATAGATCTTAATGCTCCCTTATGCAAGTTCCTCTGCATCTTTGCCTCTATTCGGTAAATTTCCCTCCCAGACCAAAAAGATTCAAGCCCAGAAAATAGAAATGGAGGAGGAAAATGAAGCTGAAAAACTGTAGACTGAGAAGATTTGAAATTGTGCCCCTAAGAGTTAAGAGAAGCTCATAACAAATAGAAATTCATGAGCTTGTCTTACAGAACACAGATAAAGGAAGAGTTTGTTAAAAGCCCTTTGTTTGTAAACTACCTTCACTGATTAAGGTAGCTTTAGTTATTTTTTTCTCTTTCTTTTTCTCTCTCCTTAATTGCATACCTTCCCAGCTTTGTGGCAGAAAGCAAAGAACTAAAGAGCCTCTCGATGAAAGTGAAAGAGGAGAGTGAAAAAGTTGACTTAAAACTCAAAATTCAAAAAAACAAAGATCATGGCATTTGGTCCCATCACTTCATGGGCAAATCGATGGGGAAACAATGGAAACATTGTGATAGACTTTATTTTGGGGGGCTCCAAAATCACTGCAGATGGTGACTGCAGCCATGAAATTAAAAAACCCTTGCTCCTTGGAAGGAGAGCTATGGCCCACCTAGATAGCATATTAAGAAGCATAGACATTACTTTGCCAACAAAAGTCCATTTAGTCAGAGCTGTGGTTTTTCCAGTAGTCATGTATGAATGTGAGAGTTGGACTATAAAGAAAGCTGAGCACTGAAGAATTGATGTTTTTGAACTGTGGTGTTGGAGAAGACTCTTGAGAGTCCCTTGGACTCCAAGGAGAACCAACCAGTCCATCCTAAAGGAAATCTGTCCTGAAAATTCATTGGAAGGACTGATACTGAAGCTGAAACTCCAATACTTTGGTCACCTGATGGGAAGAACTGACTCACTGGAAAAAACCTGATGCTGGGAAAGACTGGAGGCAGGAGGAGAATGGGACAGAGGATGAGATGGTTGGACGGCATCACTGACTCAATGGACAGGAGTTTGAGCAAGTTCTGGGAATTTGTGACGGACAGGGAAGCCTGGGGTGCTGCAGTCCATGGGGTCGCAGAGTCGGATACGACTGAGCGACTGAACTGAATGGACAGCTTCAGGCTGTCCAGCTGTTTTACAGGAACTAGAGTCAGCTCTTGCCTAGAGCCAGCCAACTGGGGGATGGCTGGGACCCCCAACCCTAAAATTAGGCCTGCCCAGGGCTCTTGACCAGCCTTTTGACGTCAGAGGCGGAAAAGCTCTGGGCTCCCATCAGGCTATGCACCTCCATTTTGAATACACACATAACCCGGGTGCACCTGTGCAGAACTCTGACTACCTCACCTTCCCCCTACCTCCAATCAGCTTTCCCCGAGCCTAAGACCACACTGTTGATATCTCATAAATATCTCAACTCCCTCACCTTCCAGGAGGCAGATCTGAGACTTGTTCCTCGCCTGGTTGCCTTGTGAATAAACTGTTTCTCTGCTGCAAACCTCAGCGGCTCAGTACTTGGCTCACTTCATGTCAGGAAAATGGACCTGGCTTGGTAACAGAGTCCCTCCCATGTCTGGCCTAAAATCACTTTGTATAAAATAACACTTGGTCCAAGGATCCTATTAATACATGTGCCAAAGACTCATATTTAACTTGGAATAATTTGGGCCCAAGCCAGAGGTTATGGGGAAAAATTCACATTTTCATTAACTGAAAACCCAGCGTCGCTGTGGTCTTATCAAGCCAAGTCTATGAGTCTGCAGCAATCCAAGACCCAGGCATTAATAATGGAACCAGAAATAAGGCAGGAACACAGTTGGAATACAACACTGAGTAAGAACTGGGGCCTGTACGGAATGACTGCTGCAATTACATACCCCAAAGTGTAGAGAAGGAGCTGAAGGTCATTGAGACAAGGCACCTGGAAGCAAGCAACAGAGCAGCAAGGCCCTGCAAGGGCTGTGGGCAAGGTCAGCCACGTGAAAAACAACAGGAAGTGGCGTCTGGGCTCCTTTGTGTGCGGTAGGAACGTGATGACTCAGCACTTCCTGCCGGGCGCCTACCACACCCTCTGCTGACTACGGACTGTGCTCCTGCCCAGCCTCAGCCTTCTGTCTTTCTGCTCAGGAACCTCTCGCCTCCGGAGAATTCCGACTACAAAACTTAAAAGTGCACACTTTTTCTGTCACTGTGCCTCACTAAAATTTTTACATATTCCCTTGGATTTTTCCAACGGGGGGGGGGGGGAACTGTGTAAAAGAGGAATGCTATCCAATAATAATAATAATAATTAGCCAAATGCGTTTCATTTGGGCTCTTTTTACTCCAGAGGTACTTACTTTCATTTCACAAAGGCTATCTCCAACCTTCAGAAGCTTCTCGTTGTAATAGGCAGCTGGCAGCCGGGGGGCGTATTTGGTCCAGATATTAAACAAAGAGGTGGCACTGTAAAAATTATAAAATAAAACGATATCTTCAAAGTCAGCAGGAAACCTACATTAATTAGCAAGCAATCCTTAAAAACTTACCTTGTGCTAAGTTTTTTAACTTTTCATTTTGTATTGGGGTAGAGCCAATGCTCAATGCTGTGCAGTTTCAGGCGAACAGCAAACGGACTCAGCCGCACATGTACGTGTATCCCTTTTCCCCAGACTCCCCTCCCCTCCAGGCTGCCTCACAACACTGAGCAGAGTTCCCTGTGCTGGACCGGAGGCCCTTGTTGGTTATCCATTTTAAATATAGCACTGTGTACATGTCCATCCCAAACTGCCTAACTATCCCTTCCCCCATCCTTCCTCCCTTGTGCTTTCTAATGTGCCATATTGTCAATGTCTAATTATTGAAAAATGTAATTATGGTTATAAGTGGTATTTCCTTTGTACCAAGCACTGACAGCTCTTTATATGCATCTTTAATGATTTTAAAATTTTAATATTTTTATTGATATAGTTTCAGATGTACTACATAGTGATTCACAATTTTTAAAAGCTCTACTCCATTTATAGTTATTATCAACCACTGACTATATTTCCTGTGCTATGCAATATATCCTTGTAGCATACATAGTAGTTTGTACCTCTTAATCCCCCACCTCTATCTGGCCCCTCACACCTTCCCCCTCCCCCCTGGTAACCACTAGCTTGTTCTCTATGTCTGTGAGTCTGTTTCTTTGTTATAACAGTTACTAGTTTGTTGTATTTTTTAGATTCCACATATAAGTGATATCATAAAGTATTTGTCTTTCTCTGGCTGACTTCTTTCAGCTGGCATAATGATGCCCTCCAAGTCTATCCATATTGTTGCAAATGGCAAGATTTCATTCTTTTTTATGGCTGAGTAATATTCCTGTGTGTGTGTGTGTGTGTGTGTGTGTGTGTAAAGTGTTCATGAGTGTATCACATCTTCTTTATCCATCCATCTCTTGAAGAACACTTAGGTTTCTTCCATATCTTAGTTATTATAAATATTGCTGCTATGAACACTGGGACTGACTCTTTGGAAGCATTTTTTTAAATCAACTTTATTTTTTAAAGTAGCTCTAGATTCACAGAACAACTGAGCAGAATGCATAGAGACTCCCCCATGTGCCCCTGTCTCTGGCACAAGCACAGCCTCCTCCGTTATTAACATCACTCACCAAAGTGGTACATTTGTTACAATTCACACATTAACACATCATTATCACCCAGTGTCCCTAGTTTACGTTAGGGTTTATTCTTGGTGCTGTCCATTATATGGCCTTGGACAAGTGTATAGTGACATGTATCCACCGTTGTATCACAGAGAGTAGTTTCACCGCCCTAAAAGTCTTCTGTGCTCTGCCTATTCATCATTCCCTCCCCACTAACCCCAACCACTGAACTTCCTACTCTCTCCATAGTTTTGCCTTTTTCAAGATGCCATATAGTTGGAATAATGTAGTATCAATATGTAGCACTTTCAAATTGGCTTCTTTCACTTAGTAATGAGGATTTAATATTCACCCATGTTTTCCCATAGCTTGATAGCTCCTTTCTTCTTAGCACTGAATAATATTCCATTGTCTATGTATGCCACAGTTTACCAGTTTACTTACTGGGAGACATCTTGTTTGTGTCCAAGTTTTAGCAATCTGTATAAAACTGTTACAAACATCCATGTGCAGATTTTTGTATGGAATAAGTTTTCAGCTTCTTTGGGTAAATACTAAAGAGCATGACTGCTGGATTATATGGTAAGAATATGTTTAGTTTTATAAGAAAACATCAAACTGTCTTCTCAAGTGGCTTTACCAATTTGCATTCCCACCAGCAATGAATGAAAATTTTCCCGTTGATCCACATCCTTTCAGCATTTGGTATTGTCAGTGTTCTAGATTCTGGCCATGCTAATAGGTGTGCAGTGGTATCTCACTGTTGTTTTAACTTATACCTTCCTGATAACACATGATTTGGAGCACCTTTTCATATATTTATTTGTCATTTATTTATCTTCCTTGGGTCTGCTAAGATTTGGGGCCTGTTTTTAAAATCAGGTTGTTTTCTTATTGCTGAGTTTTTAAGAGTTCCATGTATATTTTAGATAGTAGTCCTTTATCAAATACGTCTTTTGCAACTTTTTTCTCCCAGTCTGTGGCTTGGCTTTCATTCTATTGACAGTGTCTTTCACAGGGCAGAAAATTTTAATTTTCATGAAGTCCAGTTTATCAATTCTTTCTTTCATGGATCATGTCTTCAGTGTCGTACCTCAAAAGCCACTGCCAAACTAAAGGTCATCTCGATTTCTCCTATATTATCTCCTAGGAGTTTTATAGCATAGAATTTACATTAGGTTTGTGATCCATTTTGAGTTAATTTTGGGGAAGGGTATAAGGTCTATAGCTAGATATGGTTTTCACGTGTGGATGTGCAATGGCAGCACCATTTGTTAAAAAGATTTGCTTCAATGTATGGCCATCACTCCTTTGTGAAAGACCAGTTGCCTATATTTACATCCATCTGGGCTCTTTATTCTGTTCCTTTGATCTGTTTGTCCATTCTTTCACCATACCATGCTATCGTAGTCAATGTAGTAAGTCTTGAAGTCAGGTAGTGTCAGTCCTCCAAATTTCTTCTCCTTCAATATTGTGTTGCCTAATCTGGGTCTTTTGCCAACATGAGTATTTTTCACTTCATTTTCACAACTGAGATGGGTAGTATCAACATCCCAAATATACAGCTGATCAAACTGAGGCAGGGTGCATCTATACTCTTAGCCAGCATATAACCGTGCCTTCCAGTCCTCTGGAATCTAAACTCCCTGAGAGCCAGGACTTCATCTGTTTAGTCATTGCCCAGCCCCAAGAGCAGTGAATAGCTAGTGTAAGTCAGCACTCAATAAATACTTGTTGACAGAAAGAATGAATGGATGAAGGACTCGGGAAAAGAATTCTTTGTTTTTATTTTATGCTTTTCTATAAAGAGTTCAAAGGTTCAACTGTCCAGTCAGTCCATTTAGGGTTATGTTTCCTATGTGGTTTCTAACCAGAGTTCAAAGGGAAGCAGATCATTGCTTATTTTGTTCACCGATTTAGTTAATATTTACTCCTTCCCTCTCTCTTGGAAATTATAAATGCCTCGAGGAAAAATCTAAATTTCTCTTAATAGTTGTCCGATCCTATCTCATAAATTCCTAGGTAAGAAAAGTGTCATACACTCAAAGTGAGTGCCTCCTCAAAACTCACATGTTGAAGCCCAATTCCCCCGCGCGGCTGCGTTTGAAGGAGACTCCGAGGAAGTAAGGGTGGGGTCGTGAGGGTGGGGCCCTGGTCCACTGGGATTAATCCATATAAGAAGAGACACCAACAAGTTCTCTCTGTGTGTGCTTCACAGAGGAAAGACTGTATGAGAACAAAGTGGACATCTTTCAAGCCAGGAAAAGAGCTCTCACCAGAAACTGATGCTGCCAGACCTCCATCTGGGACTTCTAGCCTCCAGAACAATGAGAAAACAAATTTCTGTTGTTTTAAGTCACCCAGTCTATGCGATTTTGCTATAGAAGCCCAAACTGACTAATTAATAATTGACTATGCCAAAGCCTTTGACTGTGTATACCACAACAAACTGTAGAAAATTCTTCAAGAGATGGGAATACCAGACCACATAACCTGCCTCCTGAGAAATCTGTATGCAGGTCAGAAGCAACAGTTAGAACTGGACATGGAACAACAAACTGGTTCCAAATTGAAAAAGAAGTACGTCAAGGCAGTATATTGTCACCCTGCTTATTTAACTTATATGCAGAGTACATCATGAGAAACACTGGGCAGGAGGAAGCACAAGCTGGAATCAAGATTGCCAGGAGAAATATCAAATACCTCAGATATGCAGATGACACCACCCTTATGGCAGAAAGTGAAGAAGAGCTAAAGAGCCTCTTGATGAAAGTGAAAGAGGAGAGTGAAAAGGCTGGCTTAAAATTCAACATTCAGAAAACTAGATTCTGNACTGAGCAACTGAACTGAAGTTAGTAATTGGGCTTCCAGATGGCTCAGGGGTAAAGAATCTGCCTGCAATGCAGGAGACGTGGGTTTGATCCCTGGTCAGGAAGATCCCCTGGAGGACGGCATGACAACCCTCTCCAGTATTCTTAGTAGCCCAAGCAGACTGATATAGGCAAGAAGCTAAACTTAAGGGCTGAAGATGGCTCAAGTACTTATCAGGTACACATCGGGTATTAATGGAACAACCTCAACAAAAACATGTTAAAAAAAAGTCAATTAATTACCTAAATGATGGGGCTTCCCTGATAGCTCATTTGGTAAAGAATCTGCCTACAACGCAGGAAACCCTGGTTCAATTCCTGGGTTGGGGAGAATCCCTGGAGAACGGCTAGGCTACCCAATCCAGTATTCTTGGACTTCCCTTGTGGCTCAGATAATAAAGAATTCACCTGCAATATGGGAGACCTGGGTTTGATCCCTGGGTTGGGAAGATCCCCTGGAGAAGGGAAAGGCTACTCACTCCAGTATTCTGACCTGGAGAATTCCAAGGACTACAGTCCATGGGGTCTCAAAGAGTCAGACACGACTGAATGACTTTCAAAAAAAAAATTAAATGGTAATAGCTCAGTGACAAGAGAAGAGGCGGATACAGAGTATTCCTGCCTTCATGGACAGATTAACAATATTTAAGGGTAGTAAAATATATACATGTAATCATGCCAAATAAAGTGTATGGAAAACATAGCTCACAGAAGTTTAAAAAGGTAAATGTGTTTTGGTTTGTTTTGCCTTTTTCACTTTGATTTCTGCTTCATGAAATGCATTATAATAAATAAAATATAGTAAATCCAAGACATTTAAGGTAGAAATCTTAAATTACATAGTTGAAAGAGTTCTTTCTTCCCAAACCTTACACATGAGATAATGATGAGTAGGTCTGTTACTCATAAAAGAAAAATACCAAATTCATAAATCATTCAAGGTTACATAACAGAATTTCCTTTTTTTTAAAGTGAGCCATAAGTTCAAGTTAAAATTACTTACTGGGAATTGGCTTACATAATGATTAAGTAGGGAAAATATATAATATGTAACACACATCCTTTAAGAAAAGTTGTTAAGACACTTTTGATTGCTATTTGACTATAACTGTTGCTGGATATTTAGAATTTTCTAAAGCAGAAAAACATAACTATGTAAAAAGAATATCAAAATTTTGTGTCCTTATAACAAAAGCATACCTTTAAAATACATCACACTCTAAGGACATTGCTGGTAGGATCAAAATCTGTATTTTAGGTACTACAAATTTTATACTTATATGAGACTCTACAGTTATAAAAATAAGCAATTTTTTATTTTAAAAAATAACCATCTTGTCAAATGTGTTATAAAAGCAACTCCTACCTCCAGTACTCCTAACTGGTCTCCACATTGCCGTCATTACTCCATTTGGACAAAGTCAACAACATATTTTAAAACAATATCAAATATGGTTAATTCTTTGCCAAAAACTAAGGAACGATTTCTCATTGCATTTGGAGTAAATGTAAACTCTATAAATGGCCTCTAAAACCTTGCACCCCCCGATCTACCCTCTAATCTCATCTCATAGAACTGCACCCACACTCTCCACACTGTGCTAAATAGGCTTCTGTCCACTCCTCCAAGGCCCCCGCCTCTTTCCTGCCAAGATCCTCCCACACGATCGTTCCTTCTGTTTATCCTCTTCTTCCTTGCTGGTGGACTGCCGGGCATCCTTCTAATCTCAGCCTCATGTCACCTCCCTCACCATTCATTTGAAGGCAAGTCTCCACTACATTCCCGTTAAGCACTATGCTCAATTGCTATCTACTCTAACCACCTTATTGAAGATTGCAACCTCCTGTCTCCCACTCCATAACTTTTCCTCTTTTTCTCCCTAGCACTTATCACTTTCTAGGACACCACAAAATGTACTTATTTAATATGCTTATTGTTTATGCCCCCCTCTAGAATATAAGCACCAAGAGGGCAGGAGGTTTTGTCTGGTTCATTGCTGTATCCCCAGGACTTAGGGCAACACATGGCACATGTAAATCTCAGTAGCTTCTTCCTTCACGGCGCTTGTTGTTTGTGTGCTGACTTATTAAAAGCCTTCACTTATTAAAAGTGACTCATTAAAAGCCTATCCCCCTCTCTCCATGAGCACAGATTCCCATATCTATTTTGCTCATCGCTGTCTAACCCATAATTGGTGCAGGCCCTAGAGCTTCCGTGGTGGCTCAGTGGTAAAGAATTCACCTGCCAAGCAGGGGATGGGGGTTCCATCCTTGGGTTGGGAAGATCCCCTGGAGAAGGAAATAGCAACTCACTCTAGTATTCTTGTCTAGAAAATCCCATGGACAGAGGACCCTGGTGGGCTACAGTCTACGGGGTCACAGAAGAGACAGACGTGCCTTAGCAACTCAACAGCAACAACAGTGCAGACCCTGGCATATCGCAGGCACTCAATAAAAAATTACTCTGTAAATAAATACCTAAACATGTGAGAAATTAGATGGCTGAGGTCCATGTCAATCCTTAATGTTTGTGAGTTTCTGTTTACAGATGGGGCTGACACTGTACTTACCAACTGACCCAGATCAACAATTATTGAGGAAAAAAAAGGATAATTCTCAAATTCTTTCAATGCCAAATATTCATTGCATGTTCACAATATCCCAACCCTCAGGTTAGGTGCCAGAGATACAGCAATGAAAAAGTGGATCACCATCTAAACTCAACAGGAAGCTTACATTCTAACAGGAGAGATGGACAATACATAAGAAATGAATATTCAATAAAAGTATAAATTGATGGATGAACCCTTCATTAGATATGAAAGGCCTCCTAAGGAGGTAACAGCCAAACTAAGACCTGGAAGAAGAGAAGGAGCCAGATACTTGAAAAATTGAGGAAAGAACATTTCTGACAAAGGAGGCAGCAAATATAAAGCCCCTGGGATGATAAACAAAGGTCTGCTTTCCCAGAAAGTCCTGGAAGAGAAGTAAGGGATGAGCTGAGATGAAAGAGGCAGGCAAGACCAGAGCTTCAGATCCTAGAGGACACCAGAAAAAGTCATAATTTTATTCTAAAAGCAAGGGGAAACAGAAGTCTTTAGATAAGGGAGTGGGTGATTTGTTGATAAGGGTCACCCTGATTGCCATGTGAAGGATAGATTTGAGACTCAAGCGGCTACAGAGAAAATTTGCGATGGTGATGGTCTGAACTGGAATGTTGGCAGTGGAGATGGAAAGATAAACTATTATCTAAGGCACAAAAACAGAAACATTTTAAATATAAATATATGTAGCCTGAGTTTCGCAGGTGGCACTAGTGGTAAAGAACCCACCTGCTAATTCAGGAAATGTAAGAGATGCAGGTTCCATCCCTGGGTGGGGAAGATCCCCTGGAAGAGGGCACGGCAACCCACTCCAGTATTCTTGCCTAGAGAATCCTACGGACAGAGGAGCCTGGGGGCACAATCCATGGTGCCGCAAAGAGTCAGACACGACTGAACCGACTTAGCACACATGTACGCACATGTAGCTTAGCCACGTAAAGTACTTTCCTTAGTCAATTCTTGGTTCTCATTTTATTTGGCCCACCAGCAGGATTTGCCACAACTGACTGACCATTCCTTCCTTCTTAAAGCACTTTCTCTACTTGGCTTCCAGTACACCAATGGATTTCCTCTGCCTCTTGGGCCACTCCTTCTTAGTCTCTACCAGTTTCTCCCCATCTCCCCCTATTTGTCTGCGTTGGAGAGTTCCCGAGTTCAGTCCTTGGACTCTCTTCTTCTCCATCTATACTCACTCCCTTAGCTACTCCATCAAATGTCAAAGTTTAAATGTCATCCATACGCTGATGAATCCCAAATGTATTTCTCCTCTGACCCCCAGACTCCACATATCCAACTACCTACATAATAACTCTACCTGGATGGTGAATCACATCTCAATCTTAATATATCTACAAACTAACTCTTCATCTCCCTCACTCCTGTCCGAACATGTTCTTCCCACAGTCACAATCACGCCCCAGGACCTCCACACTTGCCATTCTCCCAGTGTGGCCAACTCTTTGTATAGAAATCTTATCATTTGCTACCATACCTCCCTCTCATCTTTCTCAAAGGTCAGTTTTCCTGACTTTCCCTGACCATGTTCCCTGCCATTCCATTTTAAATTATAACACCCACCTGATATCATTATCTTCCTCCCTGCTCTAATTTTCTACCACTTACCTCCTTGTAAAATAATTCCCTTACATATTTGTTTAGTGGCTGTTTGTAGACACAAAAATACATACTCCATGGGGATATGAATTTGAATATTCTTTTAACTTGATGTTTTCCTAGTTCCTGGAATGGAACCTGATATTTAGGAGGTGCTCAATAAATATGCACTTAAATCCTTGAATGAATAATAAAGTTAAAACTATTTCTTCATATTAAATACATGGATGAAAAATATAAGATGAAACTATTGACTATTCTAGTATTCTTCACCACTTGCCTACATTTCTAACTGTTCGGTTTGCAATGTGTTTTGCCTGGGAAAGAAAGATGGTTAACACAAACAGGAAAGAGCCTTAAAAACAGGTAGTCTGCAGTTCGAGATAATAACATGGTGATGGAATCCAAAAAAGGCAAACGTGCAAAATGAGTCACAAAATCAAGAACAAGTTACTGTGATGCTATTAATAGTAGCAGTTGAAAAAGGAATAAAGTACAAATGTTCACAAAATGGCATCAAGAATTAACTTTTTCATGAACTTAAGTGACCTCAAAGTTATTCCTTTCCCTCCATATACAAAACTGTACCCACAACATGGAAAGTTGTGAAACCTGTGAGTGAGCCAAAACTTCACTGGCATGCATTGGCAATTAGAAGACACTCAGAACAAATGTTGAATTATGTGAACGGGTGAATTATGAAACATTTCTTTGTTGACTTTTATTCTGACCCGAGCAGGAAGTCAAGACACATTTACCAGGCATTAAGGATTGTAATAGCGACGAGTCTTCACTTCTTCAACTTCGTGTATATCTCCGGGCCCTTTGGCCAGGTTCTGCATCCGCAACACCGACCAGCTCCAGGGACCACTGCCCGCCTCCTCAGAGCATCTCCGCCTCTGGGCCCTGGGAGTTGTCTTCTCCGGACAGCACCCGCCCCAGGGCCCTGCCTCTGCTTACCAAAGCCGGTGGAACTCATATTTCTGTTCTTCCGTTGTAGCTAAAGCCGTCTTTCTCTTCATGAAGCCTAGCAACTCCTGAATCTCCTTCTCACAGGTGGCCAGGAGTGGGTTTTTTGCGTCCAGCGGCCCATAAAATACTGCGAGGGGCAACAAGTCCTCGTGGCCGGCCGAGCGAGGCTGTGGGCTCAGAGAGCTCGCCTTCGACTCCAGGGGCGACTTCGAAATCGCAGTAGAGGGCAGGGGCGCGGTCGGCGGCGACACGGAGGTGGGAGACGCGTTTGGTGAAGAGACCGAGCAGGTGCCTTGCGCCGCCATGTTGACGAGACCCGGGCCCGTCCCGGGGTGTGTGTACACGCGGTTGCCCGGCGACGGTCTCGTGGTAACCAGGCTTCCCGCGAGCGTTTGGGGAAATACAGCGGCCCCTGGAGGGCAAAAGAAGAAAAACCTTGTCCAGAAAGCAGTGTTACTCCTGAGTTGGTTTTGCTCTCTCGCTCACCGCTAGATGTGATAACAGAGGATTCTGGAGAGAGAGCGAATAGGAGAGCCAGAAACTTAGGATCACATATCCAAACTATACTTTTTCCATTTCGACCACTTAATAATGATGCTCATTAATATGTGCCAGGAGTTATTCTAAGCATTTGAAACAAGTAATCTCATTTACCTCATTTAAAAGTCATTATAACTTTGCAATTTAGGATATTATTAGTATCTCCATTTCACAGTTTAAGAAACCAACGTTTAGGGAGGTTTAGCCATTTGACCAAGGTCAGAGTAAACTGTTGGAGGGTCAGGGACCTGCCTTCAGACTCCAAAGGCTGTGCTCAAAATGACCTTCCCCCACCACCATGCACTCAAACTAAGGTTAGCAACAGAACTGAAAATAGGAAAATATCTAACAGCAGTTTAAGAATCAATTGCATGCAACTGATCCACTCTGGTCCCTCTTATTGGATCTTGAGATCTGTAACTGTGAATGATGTTGGTGTCTAGTAGTTATGACTAGTCTGTTTATTCATTTATATTTCGGCTTTATCTTGATTATCACTATATTTTAAATTCATGAGCATTTAACTCAGCCTTAACCTGTGGACATTAATGTGTACTAATGCTTGAAGTGGTAACTCTCAAAGAATTTTGCATTTTAAATGGGGGTTTTAGGAGACTTTGCTTCTGATGGGGAAGCAATGGCCTCAAGGAAACTATTTGGGGGCAAGAGAAGTTCTTTCCCTGCATTATGGGCAATAGTTAGTTTATTTATACATTTAAAGTATGAGTTTCCAACTGTACTAGTTGGAAAAAAAAAAAACAAAGAACTTGCTTTGTTTATAAATGTTAAATTGTCTAAGAGAAGGAACAGAAATATTTGATGGCTTAGGAAAAGGGGTCTTAACACTGAAAACTGTTACTCATCCTGTAAAGACAGGAACCGTTACACCCTGTGAGCCCAATTTCCCACGTAAGATTAAGATGCTTATTGGACCACAGACTGGTTTCTTTCAGGGCTGACCTAATTTCTTGCAGACTCTCTGGACCTGTGCTAATTTGCAAGACTGGCCTAGTACGTCATGTGTACTGTACCCTAATATTCTTTGAAGGCAAATGATGATGATTTTGCATTTCAAGGCAGGTAATTATGGCCCAAGTACCTTCCTGGCAAGCAGTAAGCTCCTCTGACACCAGACTACAAGGAATTCAATTCTCCAATAAGAATGTAGAAATACTCTTTGATTAAGACTTTTATCTTGTCTCTAAGTGAACAGTAAAAATGCTAAGACTTTAAAGAATTTAGGCCTAAAGAAATAATTCATCCTTGGAGCATTTACAAAAAGTATTAATAGGCCTTTTTAAAAAGTCAGCTTGGTAAGTTCTTTCTCTTCTCATCTTTTTATTCTTACATAACAAACATGTCCACTTCAGATCAGAAGCTGGTATAATTTGCCCCTGAGTACTGTCTTTTATATTGATGAAAGTGAAACTGCAGGATAAACGTAAATTAAAGCGATCAGAGAGGAGGAAAGAAAATAAAAATAAAACACATAAAGTAGAGTTATTTCCCCTTGGTCTGACTGCTCTCAGAAACAGCTTTCATAGCTCAGACACATATCAGTCACTGGTAAAAGAAAATGTGACTAATTAAATTCAAATACTTGAATTATGAAACATTGTATCTTAGTCATTTTCCTCCTTGCACACACACTCAAGCTAACAAAGCATAACTTTCAGTAGTTTTTGAAAGCTCATCTGCATATTTAAATGGGTGCTATACTCTGAGTCATCACTGTGGTAAGAAGGATATTTCCATTTTCTGCAGTTTAAATTATATTTAACTCATTTTTTAAAATATTCTTGAGATGTTATCTTTCTGATAATGAGAAGCAGCTATTAGGATATCTTTTCTATTTTCTTGTCACTTCGCTTTATTCTTTTTACTGTAGTAAAAGAATAGAGCTTTGCAACTGTCTGACAACTAAATAATGTAAATAGCTTCCTTATAAATAATGTAAATTTCTGTTTCCTTATAATTAAGGAAATTAAGTGTCTGCAGCCTGCAGGGATCCTTTTGCCCATTCAAGAGTCTTTATCATTTAAAGTTACTGTTAGAGAAAGAATAAATAAAGTTAATATTCTTTCTATTCCTAATGCAGTTGTTAATCATTTGAATGTCCCAAATATGTAAGATATTTTTTAAAAAAGCACGAAGATCTACCTTTCCTACCTCACTATCTAATATTTAGACCATTCTTAATTTCATGCTTTCCTTCAGTGAAATACAGCCATTTCATTCAGTTCAGTTTAGTCACTCAGTCGTGTCCTACTTTGTGATGCCATGGACTGCAGCATGCCAGGCCTCCCTGTCCATCACCAACTCCCAGAGCTTGTTTAAACTCATGTTCATTGAGTTGGTGATGCCATCCAACCATCTCATCCTCTGTCATCCCCTTCTCCTGCCTTCAATCTTACCCAGCATCAGGGTCTTTTCAAATGAGTCAGTTCTTCACATCAGGTGGCCAAAGTATTGGAGTTTCAGCTTCGGCGTCAGTCCTTCCAATGAATATTCAGGANCCACTAACTTTGATCATAGTGATCCTTCCTAAGGCCCACTTGACTTCACATTCCAGGATGTCTGGCTCTAGGTAAGTGATCACACCATCATGGTTATCTGGGTCATGAAGATCTTTTTTGTATAGTTCTTCTGTGTATTCTTACCACCTCTTCTTAATCTCTTCTGCTCTGGGTCCATACCATTTCTGTCCTTTATTGTGCCCATCTTTGCATGAAATGTTCCCCTGGTATCTCTAATTTTCTTGAAGAGATCTCTAGTCTTTCCCATTCTATTGTTTTCCTCTATTTCTTTGCACTGATCACTGAGGAAGTCTTTGTTATCTCTCCTTGCTATTCTCTGGAAATCTGCATTCAAATGGGTATATCTTTCCTTGTCTCCTTTGCCTTTCGATTCTCTCCTTTTCTCAGCTATTTGTAAGGCCTCCTCAGACAACCATTTTGCCTTTTTGCATTTCTTGGGGATGGTTTTGATCACTGCCTCCTGTACAATGTCACAAACCTCTGTCCACAGTTCTTCAGGCATTCTAGAACTGAAGTGCCTGATTAGATCTATCAGATCTAATCCCTTGAATCTATTTGTCACTTCCACTGTATAATTGTAAGGGATTTAATTCAGGTCATACCTGAATAATCTAGTGGTTTTCCCTACTTTCTTCAATTTAAGTCTGAATTTAGCAATAAGGAGTTCATGATGTGAACTCCTTAAAGTTCAGATCCCAGTCTTACTTTTGCTGAGTGTATAGAACTGCTCGATCTTTGGCTGAGAAGAAGATAATCAATCTGATTTTAGTATTGACCATCTGGTGATGTCCATGTGTAGTCTTCTCTTGTGTTTTTGGAAGAGGGTGTTTGCTATGACCAGAACTTTCTCTTGGCAAAACTCTGTTAGTCTTTGCCCTGCTTCATTTTGTACTCCAAGGCCAAATTTGCCTGTTGCCCCAGACATCTCTTTTGACTTCCTACTTTTGCATTTTGCCATTTCTTTAATATGTCATAAATGCATAAATGAACCACATATTCCCTGCAAGAAGCAGATGACACATCCACAACTAACCCTGAAGAAGGCATACTGTGAAACATGCTGTCATAAAGACTTTCAAAGGCTATCGGAACCCCAAATGAAGCCTGGGACTGGAGAGAGAATACAGGATTCTAGAGGAGGTGATGTCTTGACCTTGAACCATAACCACTCTTCATTAATAGAAAGGTCTTTGCAACATGCTTTTGCCTAATTACTAGTAAGCACTGATGGCTCAGCAGTAAAGAATCCACCCTCAGTGGAGGAGATGCAGGTTCAACCCCTGGGTCAGGAAGATCCCCTGGAGGAGGAAATGGCAACCCACTCCAGTATTCTTGCCTGGAAAATTCCATGAACAGAGGAGCCTGGTGGGCTACAGTCCATGGGGTCATAAAAAGTCAGACACGAGTGAGTGTCTGAACACACATGTCATAACCTAGCACTGAAGACTGGCTGCTGGCAGAGTATATGAATGAGTGGTGATGGTTTAGTCACTAAGTCGTGTCTGACTCTTGTGACCCCATGGACTGTATAGCCCACCTGACTTCTCTGTCCATGGAATTTCCCAGGCAAGAACACTGGAGTGGGTTGCCATTTCCTTCTCCAGGTTGTCTTCCCAACCCAGAGATCAAACCTGCATCTCCTGCATTGCAGATGGTTTCCTGCATTGCATGCAGATTCTTTAACACTGAGCCACCAGGGAATTCCCCATATAAATGAGTGGATGAAAAGAAAAAAAGCAAGATGAAGAACATTTAGAAGGATATTCCTGACTGAGAGAAAAGACTGAGTAAGGAACAAAGTCATAAACACACGCAGCAAGTTAAATTAAAAAATTTGCCTAGTGTGGTGAGTCATAGACTGCAGAAGGTGAGGTGGAAAAAGAAGCATGATCAAATCAAGTGGATAGTTAGAAAATATGCTAGAAATTTTGACTTATTTCTATATTCAGTGGGGAACCTCAGTTAGAAAAACAATGTCATGTAGAGGTTAAAAATCCAATTCCAAACTAATATCAGGCCAGAAATCATGGCTAAATCCCCAGTTCTTCCAAGTTACTTAAGCTCAGTGTGCCTTGATTTCTTCACTTGTAAAAAGCTGTTGAAATAATAATACTACCCACCTCATAGTTTTGTTTTGTTTGGAATTAAACGAGTTAATATATGTAAAACCCTTAAAATGGTGCCTGGCACATAGTGAATGCTATATTATTGTTGTTTAGTTGCTAAATCATGTCCAATTCT